GCCATCAGCATCATCATGAGCATCAGCATCAGCATCAGCATCAGCATCATCCTCATCCTCACCCTCACCCTCATCCTCACTCCATCGTCATCACCATCATCAGCATCATCATCAACAGCAGCATCATGATCGTCATCATCATCAGCATCATCATCAGCATCACCACCATCATCATCATCATCATCATCATCATCATCATCATCATCATCATCATCATCATCATCATCATCATCATCATCATCATCCTCATCCTCATCCTCATCCTTATCCTCATCCTCATCCTCATCCTCATCCTCATCCTCATCATCCTCAACCCCCCTCCTCCTTTTCCTCCTCCTCCTCCTCCGCCTCCGCCTCCGCCTCCCCCGTGCCCCCTTCCCGCTGGCCCGCAGGCCCACGGTCGGAGTGCGCACGTGGCGGGGTGCTCTCACGACCCAAGGGACAATCCCGCTCTCACGGCCCGACGGAATCACCGCCCCCGCCATCCCGCCCCCCCCTCCCCCCTCTCTTGCCTCCCAGCCTCCCGCCTCCCCCCTCCATGCCCCGCCCTCGCTTCCCCCTCCGCCGCCCTCCCCTCCCCTCCCCATTCCGCCGCCCTCCCCATCCCGCCTTCCCCATTGCGCCCTCCTCTCCCCTCCCCTCCCCTCCCCCCTCCCCGTCCGCCCTCCTCCCCTCCCCTCCCCCCTCCCCATCCGCCCTCCTCCCCCCCTCGTGCCTTCCACGCTCCCGTCTCCCCCTTCCATGCCCCACCCTCCCCTCCCCATCCGGCGCCCTCGCCTCCCTCTCGCCGTCGCCTTCTCGACCGCGCCCTCTCCCCCCTCCCCGTCCTCCGTCCTCCCTCCCTGCCTCCTTCCTCTCTCCATCTCTCCCCTCCCTGCCCTCCCCTCCGCCCTCCTGCCTCCTGGCCCTTCCCTCCCTGCCTGCAGCAAATCGTCCGACTTCGAGCTTCGCGCCCTCGCACCGAGCCCCCGGACCACTGTCCGGCCCTGGCCGCGAAGCGCGCTACGCTTCGCGTCCATGCGGCCCTCCCAGGTCGCCGAGTTTCGCGCATCGTGCCCCCTCGATGCACGACGCGCGGGTGTCTTCGCGCCCTCGCGCCGCCGCCTTGGAGGAGGGCGCCTGTCCAATCCAAGCCGCGACGCGCGAAGCTCGAATACCTTCGCGCCCTTGGGGTGACCTAGATCTCCGCATCACTGCGGATCACCCGCGCAGGTTTACCCTTCCGCCGTCCCTCTGGCTCCCTTCTTCTCCCGCTCCCCCTGCCATGCACTCTGTCCTGGAGGCCTCCTGGTCCATCCAGAGACCCTCCCGAGCCCTTCCTGGCCCAGAAGCCTATGATGATCATCATGATCATGATCATGATCATGATCATCATGATCATCATGATCACCATGATCATCATGAACATCATCATCATCATCATCATCATCATCATCATGATCATGATGATCATGATGATGATCATCATCATCATCATCATCATCATCATCATCATCATCATCATCATCATCATCATCATCATCATCATCATCATCATGATCATCATCGTCATCATCATCATCATCAGCATCAGCATCAGCATCAGCATCATCATCATCATCATCATCAGCATCATCATCATCGCCCCTGGGGTGACCTAGATCTTCGCATCACTGCGGATTACCCGCGCAGGTTTACCCTTCCGCCGTCCCTCTGGCTCCCTTCTCCTCCCGCTCCACCTGCCATGCACTGTCCTGGAGGCCTCCTGGTCCATCCAGAGACCCTCCCGAGGCCTTCCTGGCCCAGAAGCCTATGATGACGATCATCATCATCATCATCATCAGCATCATCATCATCATCATCATCATCATCATCATCATCATCATCATCATCATCATCATCATCATCATCATCATCATCATCATCATTATCATCATCATCATCAGCAGCATAATCATCATCATCATCATCATCATCATCATCATCGTCATCGTCATCGAATTCGTCATCATCATCATCATCATCACGATCATCATCATCATCATCATCATCATCATCACCATCATCAGCATCATCATCATCATCATCAACACCGCCACCACCACCACCATCATCATCATCATAATCATCATCATCAGCAACAGCATCCGCATCCTCATCCTAATCCTCATCCTCATCCTCGTCATCATCATCAGCATCATCATAATCATACTGATAGAATCATCATCAGCATCATCATCATCAGCATCATCATCATCAGTATCCTCATCATCACCATCGTCCTCATTATTACCAGCATCAGCATCATCAGCAGCAGCATCAGCACCGGCATCATCATCAGAAGCATCAGCATCCGCATCCTCATCCTCATCCTCAATTCTCATCCTCATCATCAGCATAATCATCATAATCATTGTCGTGATTAACGTCGACGCTGTATTCTGCTGTGCTGCGCTCGTCCGTCGAGCATGATGGCGCCAGCCCGTGCTGGCGAGCGTGTCTGCCGCGCTCTCTGCACAAAAGAGGGGGCCCCCTCCTCGATCCCATACAGCCGCGGAGGCGGCGGCAAAAGAGAGAGTGAGGAAGGAGAGGTTGACTCAAAACTTCGCTCGAGTCGCCTCGGCTCGACATGAGCCTAAAATCCTTCTCAACCGTTCCGACCGAACTGGATCAAAAGAGGGGCCCTGCACAGTACGAATATGAAAAGGAATGATGAGAAAAGAGCCCGACCCTATCCTCAAGATAGGTCGAGAAAAGCTAAAGCGTCGGCGGCCTCGGCTTCAGCGTCTGTAGATGCCTGCGGCTTGTCCTGAGCGAGTTTGTTGGCTCGCTGTCGCTTCCTGGCTGACATGAAGTCCTCATCGTACCTGATGATCCAGGTACGCCGTGCAAGCCACAGAGCCAGAGGCTTCCTTGCCTCGGGACTGTCCTTCGTGAGGCCGTCGGTGAGATTGAGGTCCGAGGGGGCCCAAACCAGGTGCTGGTTCTTCTCGGGCCCGCAGTTCGCCTTCACATGTAGAACCTCCACGCCGGTCCTCGCATCGCTCAGGCCTATGCCGAAACTCTCCTTGTTGTGAACTGAATCATAAACTCCTCGGCTGTCGATCACCAGCACCGAGGTCATGGATTGCGCCACCTCCTCCTGAGTGTGCGCGGTGACTGGAACTCCGTGCATGACTGACCACAGCATGCGCATCAGGTACGCCGCGTTCTCGCCGTCGTACAGAGCCTGTCCCTCGCAGCCGTTGGTGCCGATGCCGGTGCGCTTGAGCTTGTACGATCTCCAGTCGGCGATCGATACTGCACATTCCTTCTGCTTGAGGATCTCGGCCGTGGTGAACGCCACGATGTAACCTCCTCGTTGTAGTAGTCTGCTTGCGTCGACCCACGTCACGATCACTAAGTCGTCCCACTTCAGCTTACCGCCACCGTTGCTATTGAAGTTGTGGAACACCAGGGAATCACGAGCTGTCCGCTTCACATCGCGTATGAGGGCGTTCGTGTCCTTCAGGTCTCCGAACGTCGCCTCGTTCACCCGTTGAGCCAACAGTGACACCCGACATGAGAACTGTGGTGCTGTCTGTGTCGCTCTCCATTGGCATTTCATCAGGCCTGCCCTGAACTGGGTGACGTCCTCCGGCTTGAGCTTGTCGTCCTTCGAGAGGTACTTGCCGGACTCGACCCTGATCTCGAGGAGCTGGTGACAGAACTCCTCCTGGCTAGCATGGATCTTGCCCGATGGCTCCTGGGTGATCCACATGCCTGCCCACATGCATGGCGTGCTTCGCCATGGAGACCACCGCAGCATCTCCTTCAGCATGTTCTTCATGTCGAGGTAGAACTTGTTGTCGCTGTCGCCTGCGATGCCAAAGTCGTCCACGTGCGAGCCAATGACCCCGCACACGGTGCCGTTCTGGTCCTGAATGATCCAGATGCATGGCTCGATGAGGACGCTCTTGCCTCCTGCTTCGTGGATCTTGTGGTCCACGTACTTCCAGAAAACCCACGGCGCATTCGTGATCCCGTAGATCGCTGCCAAGACTCTCATGGACTCCTCCTCGTTGATCTGCAAGGCCTGCCGGAGCTCCTTCACGCCCTTCGTGTAGAGCTTCCTCCACTCCTCGGTGTGCCCGGCCTGCAGGAAGGCGGACTTCGCGTCGGCTAGCTCGAAGGTCCAGCCGTGGAAAGCAGCCATCTGGAGGAGTGCCAGCTTCCCTTTTCTTGAAATGGTTGGTGACGCCGTGGGAAGTACCCGATCTCCGAACTTGTCCCGACTGACAAGGTCTGGATGTGAGAAGCCCAACAGAATGATACGGGCCTTCGCCTTGAACTTCCCGTCTGGCGTGCTCACGGGGTGTGGGTCCGACTTGTCCGGTGGTTCAGGTGGTGTCAAAGGCTTCCAGGTCAGTAGCCACCTCATCTTGATCAGCTTGTCCGCTGGAATGTCCTTTCCACGATTGTAGTCAGCGTAAGCCGATGCAGCCCGGACTGTCGGTACTTCCAGATGTTCCGCCAGCTCCCGTGCCATTGCCTCTTGAAACAGTGGCTTCTCCTCGGGGCTCAGGCGGCCAAACGAAACCTCCACACCCTTCTTGACCGTGTTGTTGGCCACTCGGTTCAGCTGCTTCTCCAGGTACGCGCTCGCATCGAAGCAGAACTCCTCCAGGTCCGTCTCGATCTCAATCTTCATCAAGGTCCATCTCGGCCTCGTTGTTCGTATCCTGCACGAAGTTGATGATGTCGGTCTCGCTGGCTTCCACATGGTCGCTCGCCGCCTTGAAGAGGGCAGCGTGAGCAACTTCAGCTGAGGCTCTTGATGAAGATGATCTCCCAAAACGCGGTTGGAAAGCTTCAGTCGGTACAGGTGGCCACGACACAGTCGGTTGCTTGCCTCTCAATCTTGTTCGCTTAATCTGTGGTGGCTCTGGTGCTGAGTTGTCCTCGTCGACCTCCAGGTCGTCATCTGCCTCCGTGACGTCGTGGGGTTCCACGGCCACATCGGGATTCTCGATCACCCTCGGCATGCCCTCAAGAGGTTGACGTGGTAGCATCCTCATGCCATCTGCCGTTGGGGAGGGCTCCCCGGCGATGTCGTCAAAGTCCTGGAGGTGCCTCCAGACGTCCTCGAGCGGACTGTTGAGGATGTCGTCCTTCTTCAGGTTGATCTGGACGATCTCCGACTGCGTGGCTGGCCGCAGTTGCTCAGCTGCACAGCGCCAGCATCGGTTGCCCATGATGACCCAGATCACGCCGTCCTTGTTGCCTGTCTGGACCGCCGGCTCGGAGAACAGTACTCTGCCCGGTCCGATGAAGAGGCCGTCCGTGAAGAAATCCTGTCCGGAAAGCTTTCGCTTCCCTGTCGCAGCGTACGACCGCCAGACACAGACCCAGTCGCCTCGCTTATATTCATGTCGAGGTCGTGGGGCTGAGTTCTTCAGCTCTGAGATCTTCCTGGACGCCTTCTCCTTCAGGTAAGTCGCCTCTGCATCCGCTCGTACCCGCTCGATCTCGAAGAAGTCGGACTTCAACTTGCCAGTAGCTGCGTTATGCGCCAAGATTGGGTCCTCGGTGGGAGAGAACCCGAAAGCCCACTGCATCGGCGTGTAGCCCTTGATGTTGTCCATGTTGTTGGCCGCCGCAATCGAGATGTAAAACACGGTCTCGGGGCTCAGCTTGGGGTATTGTAGGCGAAGCTTCCTCATTGCCTGCTTGACGGTCGAGATGCGGCGCTCGATGTCGCCAGCCATCCAATGTGCTCCTCCTGGTTTCGCTGAGACGCCGATGCCGGCCAACTGGCAGTTGTCTTTAAACTCGCCACCCACAAAAGAGGTCTGAGGATCGACGAAAACCCACCTTGGCTTGGGATAGTGTTGAAGGTAGGCTCTGGCAAACGTCGTGAACAGCGTAGCTGACGAATCTGTGCCCTTATCCTTGAGGCCGATCTTCGCAGTGATGTCCCCGCACATCAGGCCGGTGGCGACCTCTGCGATGAGGAGAAACCTGGCCTTCACATTCAAGTCCGGGAACGTCAGGTCGGAAACGTCCATGACGGCTGCCTGCCAAGGTGCCATGGGGATGTCGAGGCTCGCCTTGACCTTGTGGGTAACGCCGTGCTTGACTAAGTCGCATGCCTCGCAGCGAAGATTGATCGCTTCTTCGATGATCCAGCGTGGACACTGTCGCTTCTTGCACCAGTAAGCCAAGTGCTCGTTACCTGGATGCCCTGCAGCCTTGTGTATCTTGCTCAACATTGCTCGAACCTGTTCCCTTTCGAGATCCGTGGGCTCAGCGACGTAGATGCTCCCGGTGTCCCGCTCCATCAGGTAGGCATTCTCGAGGTCGAGGACAGCAGGGTTCTCCAGGGCCATGTTGAGGTCGATTGGGGTCCGGAGTTGAGCATGCCATAGCCGGGCGATTGCCTTGCACATCGCCTGCGGGTAGTAGGCCGTGGCTGCAGTGTGCAGCTTCCCGCTGATGACTCGGTGGCCGTGTGAGTGGTCACACACGGTCGCGACCTTGGAGAACTCCGGGTCGGTGGTCATGATCCTCCAGCCCTTCTCGACGAGCTCGTTAGTGTTGTAGTCCCTGAGGCCGTACATGCACCCGTCGATCCGATCTTCGAAGACGTGTCGTCCCCGACGCCTCAATTCCATACGAAGAAAATTGAGCTCGGGAATCTTCCAGCCTTGACACCTGTGGGGCCACTCGAAGTAGACCTCTCCTCCGTTGTCAACAATCTTTAGCAACAGGAGAACTCCATACTTCACACGTCGTCGGTCTCGAAGTCGATCTTTCTCTAGGCGTGCACGTGCCTCTGGGGTCTTGTAGTTGAAGTTCGTAAGCGAAGTCCATAGCGTGCATGGTAGCGATATCCAAGCCCGCTTCGGCATCACCTCGTCCAGCTTCTTGCTAGCGGCCTCGAACCCCGCCTTCGTGCTGAGGTTGTAACCGTTCTCGATGCTGATCCGCTCCATGCTGAGGCCGATGTTGGTGCACTCGTCGGTCAGCATGCTGTTGGGATGGCAGCAGATCTCCACCGCCTCGGTGATCGTACCCACGGTCATGGCCAAAGCCAGTCCTGCGAGTAGTGACCTCCGACGTCCGGCCGCCAGAAGCTGCCTCGGCACCCGGCTCAGACTGGCCCGGGTACTGGTTCCGCCATCTGGGCCTTGCGCCTGGGATTCGCTGCCCCCAGCATCTCCAGCAGCGCGTCCGGCGCGTGGCGGATCTCGGTCCCGGGAAGCCTCCGAAGAGAGGTGGCGATGTTGATCATCGCAGTCACCTGCTCGTGATTGGCCGTCTCCCACAGGTTGCAGTGCCGCACCAACTCCAGGCCGGACTCCACCAACTTCGGATGCTGCATGCTGAGGTTCGTCATCGGCGCCTTCGCCGTCGGGACGTAGAGCAACCTCAGCCCGCACCGATAGCATGTCCTGGTCTGGCCCCACTGGTTGTTGACCGTGAAGTACTTGCGATGCGTCTGCCCGCACGGTCCCCGTGTGGTCCTCGGATCGCGGGGGTCCACCTGCAGTGCGAACGCCGGGTCCAGCTCCATCTGCTTCTCTTTCTTGCGACCCTGGTGCGCGTTGCCCGGGTCTCTCTCCTTGACCTTGCCCTCCGAGGTAACATACTCCATCTTCTGGCCGTTGAAGACGAACTCCCGCTTGACCTGGGTCGTAGGTCCGGAGCTCGCTGCCGCCGAAGGTGACTTTACCTCCGGGCCCTCCTCCTTCTTGTCGGCATCTATGTCGACAGGTACCCATTCGTCCTTGCCCTCCATGGAAACGCTCTGACTGAAACGTCGGCTTGCGGATTGCCGAAATCCGCTCTGAGCGAGTTCCCGAGCCAAAAGACGGCGGAGGATGGGATGACCATGATGGAGCTGCTCTCCCTGTTATGGTTGATGGAGGTGATGTTGCTGTTATCAATGATGGTGTTGTCGTTAGGGCCGTATATACTGATGATGGTGTCGTTCTCATCTGAGATGATGCTGATAATGTCGTTCTTGTTTGAGATGGTGCTGATAAAGTCGTTCTTGTCCGAGATGATGCTGATAATGTCGTTCTTGTCTGAGATGATGCTGATGGTGGTGATGTGGTCTTTGTCATCGACCATCTCTGAAACGCCCTTGCAAGACCCTCGGTGTTTTTCGTGGTCGGGTTTAAAATCTCGGAAACGTGCTTCACCAGGTCGAGGATGCAATGGCCCTTGCCTGGAGTCTTGCGAAGCTGCACCAGTTGACCCCTGATCACAGCCTCCCCGGTTCGGAAATTCACGATTGCCGGCCACGACTCCAGAGCGGTCATTCCCAACAGAACGAGAGGCACGCCAGGACTAAGAGCGAAAATGCCCAGAACGAAGCCCGGCTCGAACTCGACCGAAACCTTATACAGTGCTCTGCCCCACTTATTGTCTCCGAAACGAAACCACGGTCTTTCATTTTCGTTGATCTCGATCCTGGCCTGTGGGTTCGCAGCCGCAACGGCGGCAACCAGGGCCTGGACTGCGCGCTCGCCTCCGGCGGACGCGGAAGCCCCGCAATCAACCATGGCCTCAGAAGGGGCGAGGCCGCTGTCGTTCAGCTCCGCCTGGTACAGACCCTGGAGCTCGTCAAACCCGTGCGTGATCGTGTGGAACTCCAGGTAGTTCGCATTCTTGCCCTTCTGGTCGTGGTCCCTGTCGCGGTACTTGCTGCCTTTGCCGCCCTTGCTGCCCTTGCTGCCCTTCGGGCCTCGACCACCGAATGGCGGTCTCGAGGGCTGCTGGTGTGGCCACGACGGGGGAAGGCGACTCTTTCCTCCTGGACTCGATGATGGCTTGCCAAATCCTCGATCTTTGTGAGCGGCGGCCACTGCTTGCCTGGCTTGAACCAGTGTACGTGAAGCCTCTGCTGCCATCGCCTGGGCCGCCTCGAGCTCCTCGTTGAGATGGTTGAGATCCTCGTCCATGGCCTCGGACTCCTCTTGCTCTGAGGCGAGCTGCGGCTCCTCCACGACGTCGTAGTCGTCCTCGTTCTCGTGGTGGTCGTAACCGTCGTTCTCCCACGCCTGAACTGCCGCTGCGTAGCCGTCGTACCAGTCAGGTCCGTGTACGTCGTCAAACTCTGCAACGAGGGCCGACTGAGGGCTCGACTCCGGGCCGTACCGAGGCATAGCCCTTGGTCCGAAGTCCCGCTGCACCAGCGCCTTGTCCTCCCATCTCTCCTTCAAAGCCTTGGAGACTGCATCGAAATCCAAGCGGTTCTGCGTGACCACGCGTACGTCCTGCTTCTCCTTCTCGGTGAAATCCATCGCCTCGAGCAGGAAGAAACCGCGGAGGACCTTCAGGACTCCAGAAGCGTGGCCGAAGAATGTGGAGCCCACTGCCATTGCTTCCGAAACCTTGAGCTTGCTCGCCATGGATTCTTGTCGGTGAAATCGATCCGTTCGAGAGCCCTGCGAGCGAGACGTCATCGACTGTCGTTCATACTCATCTGCTTCTTCTGCTTCCTCGGCAGGGGCGTCCTCTGCTGCCGAGGGCGTCGGCGCGTCGGGGCTGGGTTCCCAGTGGTCCCAGCACCTCTGGCAGTACCATTGTCCACGTCCGGCTGCGCCACGGTCTCTGTCGAAGTAGCCGTAGCACTCCTGGCACTGCTTGTACTTGTCATTGTCGCCCATCTCCTCCAAGAGGCGCTCCAGCGCCTGGACCATCTCTGAGTAGCAGTCCTGCTCCCGGATCAGGAGCGCGCCCACTGTCTCGCCTTTGCGCCGCTTGAAGTCCTTGTAGTAGTGCTTAATCTTGTGGGCCGCGTCCGGGATAGGTAGCTTTCCCAGTGGACTGTTCCTCAGGTCGTCTAGGAGGAGGAGGTGGCCGTTCGGATTCTCATATCTATCTGGATCCAGGGTGGTCGCAAACGTCCGTATGGCTATCGTCTTACTCTGTAGCATGCGACCGATGATCCTGTTCGCCGCTAGGTCCCTGTCCTGCCGCTTCAGCGTGCGGGGGAACCACTTCACTGCCGTCTCGAAGTGTCGCCAACGTCCTGGGTTGCCGTCCCATTCAGGGATGGCATCCTTTGCCTTCTTGTCGTCTCGCTCCATGGTGTTCTGGTCCCTTGGGGAGCGCCAGAACTGGTCCGTGGATCAAGCTCCGCAATACCAATGTCGTGATTAACGTCGACGCTGTATTCTGCTGTGCTGCGCTCGTCCGTCGAGCATGATGGCGCCAGCCCGTGCTGGCGAGCGTGTCTGCCGCGCTCTCTGCACAAAAGAGGGGGCCCCCTCCTCGATCCCATACAGCCGCGGAGGCGGCGGCAAAAGAGAGAGTGAGGAAGGAGAGGTTGATTCAAAACTTCGCTCGAGTCGCCTCGGCTCGACAATCATCATCATCATCATCAGCATCATCATTAGCAGCCTCAGCAGAATCATCATCATCGTAATCAAAATCATAAACATCATCACTACCATCATCGTCGTCACCAGCATCGTCATCACCATACGCATGATCATTATCACCACCATCACCATCATCCCATCATCAACATCACAACCATCATCATCAACAACAACGACAACATCACCTTCAGCATCATCATCATCATCATCACCATCATCCTCCTCATCATTACCAGCATCAGCATCATCAGCAGCAGCAGCATCAACACCAGCATCATCATCAGAAGCATCAGCATCCGCATCCACATCCTCATCCTCATCCTCCTCATCATCAGCATAATCGTCATTATCATCATCAGCATCATCATCATCGTCATCAGCATCATCACCAGCAACAGCATAAGCATCATGATCATCATAATCATCATCAACACCACCACCATCATCATCCTCATTATCATCAGCAACAACATCAGCATCCTCATCCTAGTCCTAATCCTCATCCTCATCTTCGTCATCATCAGCATCATCATAATCAGAATAATAAAAATATAGTCATCATCAGCATCATCATCATCCTCATCATCATCACCATCATCCTCATCATTACCAGCATCAGCATCATCAGCAGCAGCATCATCACCAGCATCATCATCAAAAGCATCAGCATCCGCATCCTCATCCTCATCCTCATCCTCCTCATCATCAGCATAATCAGCATAATCATCAGCATCATCCTACCAGCCTCAGCATATCATCATCGTAATCATCATCATAAGCATCATCACCACCATCATCGTCGTCACTAGCATCATCATCACCACCATCACCATCGTCATCATCATCAACATCACAACCATCATCTTCAACAACAGCGACAATATCACCTTCAGCATCATCATCATTACCACCATCATCCTCACTACCACCACCATCACCACGATTACCACCCTCATCATCATTATCATCATCATCATCATCATCATCATCATCATCATCATCATCATCATCATCATCATCATCATCATCTCAAGCATCATCATCATCATCATCATCATCCTCATCATCAGCATCAGCGTCAGCATCCTCATCCTCATCCTCATGATCGTCCTCATCATCAACATCATCATCGTCATCATCATCAGCATCATCATCAGTATCAGCAGCAGCAGCAGTTGCAGGAGGGTCCTCGCAACACTACGCGAGCTGATTTTACCAACAAGTTGCAAGTGGGTGATTGGGGTATTTGCTAGACCCAGACGATTGGATTGACGACAAGCAGTGGTGTTTGTTGGAGTATTGGAGTCGCTCGCATCGCATACGTTGGGCCACGCATACTGCACCCCACATATCTCACACCAAGAATGCAAGAACTAGTTGCTTGCGCCCACGCTTGCAATCATGAATGCCCCTTTGTGGCATCACTTCTGTTAGCCCGGCCAAGGCACTGCGAAGGCGCGCGACGGTCCCCAGCACCCCCATAGGGCCAACAGAAAGCGTGGGCCCCCCAGCTGACACTACTTGACCAGCGGCGAGCCGGATCCTGCAGGCGGTCGGCGAACGGCGGGACAGGTCGAGAGCGAATCGGGTACAGCGAACAACCAGATCACCTAGGTACCTAATTAACGTCGCGCAGCGCGACCCGCGACGCGCGACCGCGCGGCTGTCTTCGCTCTGCGCCCTCGCGCTCCCGCGCCCTATGGGATCGGGGCAGCCCTCCCACCCCCGCCGCGAGGCGCGATGCCCTTCGCGCCCCTGCGGGGTGACTGCAGCAACTCGGCACAGGGCAGAAGGGAGGGCCCGCGGTGTCGGTCCGGCGGGGCCGGCCCCACGAGGGCGTCGCGGGGGGTCGGGGCCCTCAGGAGACGCGCTGTGAGCAGGACTCGGAGCCGCTGTCGTCGCCCGTCGTCCGGAAAAGGGGAGGGCTCGGGTCGGGCGAAAGGGGGGGACAGCAAAGGGGGGGGTTGGGAATCAGCTCACGTAGCTGATTTTCCCGGCGCCTCCCGGCGCAGGCTATGTATCGAGGAATGGGCCCCTCGGTGGGGCCGAAACCAGCTGCATGCAGCAAATTTCGTAAGCCCCCCTTTCCCTATCCCCCCCTTTCCTCCGGCCCGAAGGGCGGGAGGGGAAGACGATGCAGCATGGACGATGCGGCCGCCGCTCGCGTTGGGCAGCGGGCGGGGTCGCGTTGCTGATGCGGACGTACTTCCCGACGCTTCCCTCGTCGGTGACCTGGCCGCGGACACTCGCCCTCTCGGGACCGCGTCGACGCCGGTGGCGACCAGCTGCCGATGCCGATGCCGCCAGGAGGCCCGACGTTCAGGGTGCTCTCCACGGGGAGGGGGAGAGGTCGAGGGTGGAGCTGCGCTCTTTGAGGATCGCCCCCTTCCTCCTCCCCCTTTCTCCTCCTCTTCCTCCTCCTCCCTCCTCCCTCCTCCCTCCTCCCTCCTCCCTCCTGCCTCCTCCCCCCTCCCCCCTCCTCCTCCTCCTCCCTCCTCCCTCCTCCCTCCTGCCTCCTCCTCCCCCCTCCTCCTCCTCCCTCCTCCTCCCCTCTCCCTCCTCCCTCCTCCCCTCCTCCCTCCTCCCCCTCCTCCTCCTCCTCCCTCCCCTCCCTCCTCCCTCCTCCCCCCTCCTCCTCCTCCTCCTCCTCCTCGTCCTCCTCCTCCTCCTCCTCCTCCTCCCTCCTCGTCCTCCTCCTCCTCCTCTTCCTCCTCCTCCTCCTCCTCCTCCCTGGTCCTCCTTCCCTTCAAGAAGGAATGAAGAAAAGACGGAGGGCGACGACGCGCGTCTGGAGGAAGGATTGAGAGATGGAGGATGGAGAGATGGAGGAGAGATGGAGGGTAGAAGGTTAGAGGATACGTAGAGAATGGAAAAGGATGGAGGACGTATAAGGATGAGGAGAGGGGGAGGAGGAGGAGGGAGGAGGACGAGGAATCAGCAGGAAGGAGGGAGACGGATAAGAGAAGAATCTGACGAGCAGCACGACATGCATTGTTGAAGGAAAAAGACGAGGGGAGAAGAGGCAGGAAGGACGGAATAAGGAGGGGGAAGAAGGAGGGAGGAGGAGGAGGCGGAGCCGTGGCTCTTAAGAGCAGAGCCAGCGAGGTGCCCGTTCAAGAAAATATTCGTAAAATCAATGTTCGCCACGTCCGTGTGGCATCTGTCGGGACCAGCACCGCTTCCGAGCACCACCCGATCAGTCGTTGCACGATCGGCACTGATTCAGGTCATTGCATCGCGATCTCATCGAGCAACGCCCGTCCGACATACTTGACATATGCTGGGATCTGGCGTGTCATTACATCATGCTGGTTATCAACGCGCTGCACGGTTGCACTGCCGAGTTTGATTCATAGATTGTTATGACGGTAAGAACCGCCACAACTGTATGTTCAAAAGCAACAGCAGCAACGACACAGGGACAGGCTCCCGCGTCAATCAAACTGTTAGTCCTCTGATGCGCCACCGCGTTGCCGAGGCTGGAGCGTGCGGGGGCCCTTGTTTCTGGTTGTTCACCCACACGATATTTCCTCGTGTTGCCTCTCGTGGTGACCTCCCCGCCCCCGCCAAAAGCTCCCCCACCCTCGGCCCCTCGAACAGCACGGCGGCAGATTGGAACGGCATCGCGGCTTGGCATCAACCTCTGAAGCAGGGTGCCGCTATGCGGCAGACGTGCTCCACGACACCCTGGAACGTCGGGACGACCTCGCAAGGCGGGGCGCGCGCCGACGAGCCATCACTCCGCATGCCAATCGAGAGGGGGAGGGAGGGGGGAGGGATGTAGGGAGGGGGAAGATGCGAGAAAGAGAGAGGTCAAGAAAGATGAACAAGTATAGCGCATATGCATATACATATATATATATACATATAGATGTATGTATATCGAGATTTTGCGTAAACGTATAACTAATATCCTGCTAGCACTGCTTGCATTCAGGGGTTCTTGTCCTTTCAGGAACTGGGCCTGAAACTTGGCCTGGCGGCTCTGTACTCGCCGTCGCCGCCACGTCGCCGCCCGTCGTCTGGGCCTGAAACTTGGGGGCGCCGAGAACTAAAGGGGCGCCGGAAACCAAAATGAACGCCGAAAACAAAAAGGGCGCGGGAAACCAACGGGGCGCCGAAAACCAACGAAGCGCCGAAAACTAAAGGGTCGCCGAACACCAAAGGGCGCCGAACACCAAAGGGGCGCCGAAAACCAACAGGGCGCCGAAAACCATAGGGGCGCCGACAACCACAAGGGCACCGAAAACCGCAAGGGTGCCGACAACTCAAGGAGCGCCGAAAACCACAGGGGCGCCAAAAACCACAGAGGCGCCGAAAACCAAAGGGGCACCGAAAACCAACAGGGCGACGGAAACCAGAAGTGCGCCGGAAACCAAAGGGGCGCCGAAAACCAAAGGGAGCGCTGAAAACCAAAGGGGCCCCGAAAACCAATGGAGCGTCGAAAACCAAATGGGCGCCGAAAGCCAAACAGGCACCGAAAACCACAGGGGCGCCGAAGACCATAAGGGCGCTGAAAACCGAAGGGGCGCTGAAAACTAAAGGGGAAGGGAAAGGTAGTTTCGAAGCCCCCCCCCCTTTAGCCAGGGACCTCCAGCTGGAAATGCCAACAGAAGGAGGGGAGAGGGGGGTGCGTCGGAAGCCCCCC